AAAAACTCCTCTTTGGGCCCCTTCTGCCAAGCTGGCAGGGTCTGCTCTGACCCTTGGGCCTGTCTGCAAGCAGAGGGTATTGTTTGATCAAAAGAGGATTACCTTCAGCTGGCCACACCATTGTTTTCCAGTTGTCCAGTAGCTGAGGTATCTCAAAGCTTGCTTTCATTTCAATCTCGCTTATAGTTTCCATATTCTCAAAATATTTTGCCAGGCAATCATATGTATAAGGCTTTCCTGTTTCATCTTCCCCAACACTCTCCCACCTCATGCCCCAGACAGGCCAAGCATGGGCTAGATCTGGACACTGACCAAATGTAACTTTGAGCTTGATGTGATGCCACAGAGCAGGAAAGCCCCACGACAGACCAGACTCCTGTGTACACAGCCAAGCCACCCACCTGGGCTCCTCCTCACCTGTGTGCAGACAGCCATATCTCTGTGATACCCTGCCCAAAGCCCTGGCAGGCTCCAGGAGAACCAGTTTTCATCTCTCCTTCAGATCCCAATTATCAACTTGTCCAGGACCTGACTGGCCCCTCCATTCACACTTACTATTGAGTACTTGTATTAGCCAGATTTCCTCTTTAATGCTCCCCTGCCTTCCAAAACATTCCAGATAAACAAAAGACAGTTCTATATCTCCCACAGCACCCAGAGAAAGTTAAAAGCCATCAGTTGTGCAAAGCAGCTGCTGCTGGAGCTGAATACTTAAATTTAACATGGGACTGTGTTGATCCTTTCTGGAGAACAGATGTTTTATGGAAACACTTTGGAAATCCATCCCTGCCCTGAGTACAGGAGAGTTCTGGAAGCAATGGGAGGGATGAGTTTTGGTGGCAGCACTGTTGGAGCAGCTCCTGCATGCAGCAGCAGCCATGGTTCAGCATTTCCCAGTCCCATCCCTGGGTACCTGCACAGGGACAACAGGCAGGAGAAGCTTAAACATTGGACAGAAGGAAAACTCTAGAAAAACTATAGATGTGACATTGTGGCAGCACCATCCATCACAAAACTCAACTGAACCAGAATTCAGGTTATTGTTTTTGTTATTTTGTGACACAAAGTCTGGAGGTCAGATAAAGCAACCAAAAATCTTTGTGACAGAGAATAACAAGCCTGAGGCAAGGCCCAGGTCTCTGGTTTCAGCTTGGTCTGTACCCACAGATTAGGGATGGGAAAGCGGCAGCAAGGAGAGAAAAATTAGATAAATTGTGTTAAATTAAACCCTTTGGAAGTTAAAAATCAGAGGTGACTCAGCATTGGACCAAGAGGCACCAAAATGACTTGAACAAGTAATGTATGAGGTATGCAAAATGCTGTAGTAACTGATCCTACCTACTGTGGGATATACCTGCTGTGGCTGGAGCAGAGCAAGAATTTGGGCAGCAGGTACAATCAGGATTGCAAATAGCCCTGGAATCTTAACATTTTATTTTTTGTTACAAAAACAGATGTTTTCAAAATGCTTCCTGTCACCCAAATATTTCCCAGAGCCTGTCAAAGCACTGGCCAATTACTTACTGTTTTCCCTTTTTACTTCAGCAATTCCAGGTGTGTGTCCTGGACATTTCAAGGGTGGTAGGTCTGTGCTGCCTGGGGCCTTCTGGCTCCAAGTGCCTCTGGCATGTGACTGATTCCAGCAGCTGTGGATTAAGTGGCTGCCTTGAACCTTTACCAGCCCAAAACTTTGAACCTTTACCAGCCCAGAACTTTTAACAGCCCGCTGTGGGCCTCGTTTGCACATTGACAAGCATGCAGGTGAGCAGGTGCAGTGCTCTGGGCTTTTGTAATTGGCCCTGGAGCTCCTGCTCCCACACAGGAGGCTATGGGGAATGGGACCAAGCAGGCAGACTGGGAACTCAGGAACTTCTCTCTCCAACTTCATTCTCCTGGTAGAAGTGCACTAATTGGCCTCAGAACTGGTGCCCACACCTGGATGAGGAGCCTGGGGCAGCTGGGGACAGAGCAGTGGGGAGAAAGGCACAGGCAGCAGGTGCCACCACGGCCTGGAAGGACCATGAGCAACCAAAAGTGCTGATCAATGATGACAGAAGAGAGTTTCCTTGGTGCTTTCTGTGGGATTCTCAGGTGAGTGCTGAGAATCTCCAAGGTCAGAGTGGACTCTGCCCACAGCAGGACTGGCTCTGGGGACATCAAGGAGCCGTTTGTCTGCCAGTCCCTATTGGGAGGTTGCCCCCAAACCGGTGCCACACTCACTGCAGGGGGACATGGAGGGAGGAGGAGGGGTGGCAGGCAAAATCCAGACAAAACCCACCACTTTCTTGTCCCCCTCCTCAGAGGAAGCCTTTGTGCCCATGTGGAGACCAGAACCAGCTAAGATACAAGCGCAGATGATTTCTGCTGGAGAAAGAATTCTCTAGCAGGAAGGTGCATCCCTCAAAGCAGCCAAGGAAACAGGACTGGGAGAAGCTGCTGGGGCTACAACAGTGCCCTTGCGACACATGCTTGGAGAAGGTAAGGTAAGAGTCTGATTTTCAGAAGTGACAAGTATTTATAGGGTCTGGGCCAAATCCTGAAGGCTGCACCCACAATTTGAGGTATTTGGTTTAAAAAAAGATCTCCCTTAACATTTCATAAGTTCACGGAGATTTGATTTACTGCTGGACACCACTGGCCAGGTTTGATATCCATCAGGAGACCAGAGGGGGACACAAACATGACATTTATTATCCTAAAGGCTGTTCTGAAGACGTGGACTACCAGAACTGAAGTTTCCGGCATCCAGGGAGATTTCAGTATATTTTAATATTTGTGCAAAGTATTGGTGGTCTCAGAAAAATCTCTTTTCAAATATCAAAGTGGGAGGGGGTTTCTGCAAGTGCTGCCAGCATGTGCCTTCCCTAAAACCTTGGGAAAGTGACCAGGCTGTATTGGAATGCCATGGCACCAAGTTTCTGTGTGAAACAAGGAAATGCTCATCACTGCCACAAGCAAAAGGTGTAATTCTGTAAATGCAAAGCAAATGAGAAAAAAGTCCCATTGCCGTGGCCCCTCTGCCCTGCCAGCCCAGCTGCCCTGCCTGAGAGCTACTCGAGAGAGGCAGAGCCCAGAGTCACTGTTCCATGTGCACACAGGACACAGATCCACAGCCACACACACACACGCAGGGCCACAGCCACAGCTGCTCTTTTCTTACACTTGCTTATCTTTTCCAGCCCCAGACACTCTCTGACCTGCATTTCCCCTCCCTGAGGCTGCCACTCCCTTGGTATTTATGCTGGGTTTCCACACAGGGTGTTCATCCCCATCTGGGGCTGTAGCCTATACTTTGCCTATTTCCCAGAAGATGTTACTGATCATCCTCTCATCTCCTGACATTCCAGATCCAAAGTTTATGCTTGGACCATCTCCTCTGCCCCAGCAGCGGGAGCAGAAGCTGCAAGGACACCGAGGCAATAGTGCTTCCCTGCTGCAGAAACATCCTGGCCTCTCTCCATCTCTAGACTCACTCCCTGCAGCAGCCCTTGTTTCCTGGGGGTCCCACTTTACATTTCCCTGGCACTACATGGTGAGCTCCAGCTGAACTCACTCCTTCATCAGGAGCAGCTCCAGGCTCTGAGCAGGCAGTGCTCACCCAGCCATCTCACTGAGCTGCAGCCATCTCACTGCTGAGCCCTTCAGACACGCTGGGCACTGCTTGGTGCCTCCTGTGCCCAGCCAGTGCCACTGCTAGGGCTCTGTCCCTCCTGTCCAAGTCCTCTCCCAGCCTCTGGACCACATCAGCTCCCCCAGAGAGCTCTGCCTTGGGCTGGGTGGGCACGGTTAGCACAGGCAGTGAGAGCACAGGGAGCGTGGGTGCCATGCAGTCACCTCTGCTGTGCTCCTACAGCTGTGGTGCTGCCAGCCTGGCCAAGGGCAGCCCCATCACTGCTCCTCTCTGCTGACAGGGGCAGGTGCAGGCACCTCACAGCCCTGCCATGGGTATGATGGGGCTGTAGGAAGGACTTGGCACCCAGGAGCTGCAGCTCCCAGCTCCTCCAGCAGCCTCCTCCCATGCCCAGGTGCCAAAGAGCTGCAAGGCTGGCGCCAGAGTCTGGCACTGCTCGGCACAGGGCACAGTCCAGGCAGGGCTGGAGTCAGCATGGGTGCTGAGTCCCATGGGCTCAGTCCCACTGCTGCAGGCTGCTGGGTGCTGCTCCTCCTGCTGTCCCTGAGCAGGAGCCACCTCTGGAAGCTCTGGAAGCCTCTCCCCAGGGCCCCCTCAGGGTTAAAAGCTTCTGCTGCGCTTACAGCCCTGAGGACACACACATGGGCTTCTCCTCACGCAGGTAAGGCAAACCAGCCAGCACCCGGGCCATGGCTACCACATGGAGCACAGGACAGCACCTGGGGACAGCTTACGAAGGACTAGGTGCCATCCAGGCTCTGCTCTTGGCTGGGGAGGTGAGGAGGAGTGAGAGGACAGGGCTTCACCAGGACATGCACTGCTGGGGGGCACCTGGCGCTGGCCCCCAGGGCTCTGGGTGGTCTGGGCAGGCTGTGCCTGCTGCTGCTGCCACCAATAGAGGCATCCAGTCCTTTCCAAGAGAAATGAACCCTGTGTTGTTATCTGCTCCCTCAGTTCAGCTGCGCCCTCGCACTGGGCTATGGCTGTGCCCAAGGCTCAGGACCCACCTGCCAGGACTGAGTGCTCCAGGCTGCCTGCTCTGCTCACCTGAGTGCGGACAGGTGCAGTGCCTTGGTGAGGAGAGCCACATCCTCCTGCAGAGGTGCAGTGCCTTGCTGAGGAGGGTCACATCCTCCTGCAGGGCAGCTTCCCTCCGTGGGTACGGAGCACAGGTGAGCTCCTTCACCAGCAGAGCTGGGTTTCTGGTGGCTCACATGGCACTGTCACAAAGGTCTCTCCCATCTCCTGAGGGAAGGACAGGAACCTGCCTGGCACTGGTGGCACCCGTGTTCCCTCTCTGCTCCCCATCCAGCCTTTCTGACCTTGTCTTTTTCTGGTCTTTGCTCACTGCATTTGCCCCCTGAAGCACCTTGGCCCCATCCATGGAGTCCATGGCAGGGGCAGGGTGGGCAGCAGCAGCCCTGCCTGGATGTGCCTAGTGCACACCACCCCCTTCAGTCCCTGGCTGAAGTTCTGAACCAGAAATGCTTCCTCAGGCCTCCTCCATCTCTGGAACATGGTGATCACAGCTCCATGTGACAGTGGGCAGACCCCTTGTGTCAGGGTGAAAACTGAAACAGGATCATGGAAAAAAGGTGGGGAGTTCCAGGCCAGGACATCCCTGCTGGCTTAAATTTTCCTGTGGTTCAACAAACCCCATGTGATGAGTTGCTCTTTGTTGGAACCTGTACTTTTGTAAGTGGAACCCCTGCTTTGTGAGAGCTGGTTATTACAGAGCAGGAAACAGGATAAAGGAAAAAAAATTACCTGGTGCAGGGTGATGCCATATCCCTGGCCCAGGGCTGGGGAAGAGCAAGCTCAGTGACAGCATCTGAGGAATGCTGTGACCTGACCAGGGGCAGGGAAACATTTACTCAGAATAAATACATCCAGGAGGGGGAGAGACACATGCTTGGAACAGTCATCAGGACGAGGGGCTGGGTAGGCAAAGAACTCCAAGGGGTGTGGGTGGCTGCCCCCTGCTCTTGGGTATTTCTGTGTGCTTTTTCTGCAGTCAGGTACCCGGCCCGGGATGGCAGCTCTTTGGACTCCAAAACCCCAGAGTCTGTGAAATCTGAGCTCAGGCAACCTTCACCCACCAGGGAGATGGGATCACAGCCGTACCATTAGGGACACCCTTGCCTCACGGGGGGCTGTGCTGCAGCCCCCTGGCTCACAGCCGGGGAGAGAGCCTCCTCAGGGCTCCCTTCTGCCCAAAGCCGGACCCAGCTTGCCCCACGGCAGGTATGAACCAGACACAGGTGACGGAGTTTGTGCTCCTGGGTTTTTCCCACGGCCGGCCCTTCCTCTTTGCTCTGTTCCTGGCCATTTACCTGGCCACGCTGCTGGGCAACTCTGTGATACTCTCCCTCGTGTCCCTGGATCCCCGCCTCCACAGCCCCATGTACTTCTTCCTGGGTCACCTGTCCTGCCTGGACCTTTGCTACTCCTCAGTGACGGTGCCCAAGATCCTGGCGAACGCTCTGCGCCCGCGGGCCACCATTTCCTACGGGGGGTGCCTGGCGCAGATGTTCCTGCTGATGTGGTGCGCGGGGGCCGAGTGTGCGCTGCTGGCCCTCATGGCCTACGACCGCTTTGCCGCCGTGTGCCAGCCGCTGCGCTACCGCCAGGCCCTGCGCCGCAGCGTCTGTGCCGCGGCCGCCGCCGGCTGCTGGCTCTGGGGGCTGCTGGACTCGGCCTTGCACACGCTGCTGGCCGCCCGGCTCTCCTTCTGCGGGGCTGCCCGGCTCCAGCACATCTTCTGCGACGCGCCGCCGCTGCTGGCGGCCGCCTGCAGCGACACCCGCCCCAACCAGCTGGCCCTCCACATCTCCAGCATCTTCGTGGGACTCAGTCCCTTCCTGCTCGTCGTCGTCTCCTACCTGTGCATCCTGGCCACCGTCCTTGGGATGCCGCTGGCCACCAGTCGGCGCAAGGCCTTCTCCACCTGCTCCGCACACCTGATCGTGGTCACCCTGTACTTCGTGGCAGCCAACCTCAACTACAACCGGCCCAGCTCGGGTTACTCGCCAGCAGCCGACACGCTGGTCTCTGTGCTCTACTGCATCGTCATCCCCATGCTGAACCCCCTCGTCTACAGCCTCCGCAGCCGGGAGGTGTGGGGGGCGCTGCGGAAGGCCCTGCGGGTGGGTGCCACGCCAGGCTCCCCAGGCAGCAATGCCTGAGCAGCGCCAGGGCTGCCGCAGGCCGCCAGCAAATGAATGTCCCTGCGTGGGACGTCTGTGACAGCACAGCGAGCCCGGGGCTCCCAGCCCAAGCACATGGCTCTCTGCCATCACTCGCCTCACCTGCAGTGCATCACTGAGAGCAGAATGGCAAAATAAAGCCAGGAACAAGGCTACAGGTCCGGGATTCTGTCTTTATTTTCCAGATGCCATGTGCTGCAGCTGTGCTCCTGCCAGGCAGCTCTGCAAAAGGCAAATTCATGTGGAGCCAGACATGTGCTGGCCCTGAGCATAGCCACGAGCTCTGCCCCAGGGCTGCCCCAGGGCTTGAGTCAGGCTCTGTGCAGAACAAGGACAGTGCCTTGGACTGCAAAACCTGGCCTGGGCAAGAGGGGCTGTTCCACCATCCACTGTCCCCATTTGCCTTGGCTTCAAATCTGATGTCTGCTGGGTTTCCTCAGGCTGCCAGGGAGGCTCTGCAGCACTCTGCACATAAGCACAGCGGCTTGCACAGGCCGCCCACGGCCTCAGTGCTGCACTCGGACACGGAGGTCTTGGCACTGAGCCGAGAGCTGGTGGCACTGAACTCCTCACCAGAAATGCTTTGCTTTACGGCCAGAAAAGTTTCCCTGTGCATCTGTGGTGTGTGCTGTGGCTCTGGGTGACTGGCCAGGGGTCTGCAGCTGGGCCCCAAGCTCAGATGATTCTGTGGCTGTGGGGGCAGCAGCCCAATCTGCAGGTGTGCACGAGGCACATGAGCAGAGCCAGGAGCACAGGCTCACCAGGGCAAGGGAGATGACACAGGCAGGTGACACCTGCAGTCACACAACCCAAACACGCTCATCTGTAGCTCAATTACCAAGAGATACCCAACAGGATCTCATCTGTTCCCAAAGAAACCCACTGGAGAGTCAGAGCTGGGACTAGGAGGCATACTGCCTTGCTGAGAGAGAGCAGTTTGCCATTTCTTAGTGCACAACACGTGCTGATTTTACGCTTCAGGGAAAGAAATGTTTCTGTAACCCACCTGTTGGGTTGGGCTGTTGCTCCTATCCAGACAGGCTGTGAGCCCCTCAGCCCTCCCTGCTATACACCCTTCTGGACTCTAAAAAGTCCTTGAAGCACCCTCAGTCCAGTGTCACTGGGCACATCAGTCTGACCAGTGGACACCTTTCTAAGGAGCCCCTGGAATGGGACAGCAGGAAACAGCAGAAACCACACAAGGAAAAACACTGGGGAAGTTGCCTCAGAGAAACAGAAAACCCAAAGCACTCCAAACAAAAACCCCAAAGCCAACCAACCAGAAACTCAAACAAGAAACCTCCGGAAAAGTTACATTAAAATTGATAATTTTTAACCTGAATCCCAATGCACCTTTCCTGTGACAGACAGACAGCGTTGGGTGTTCCTAGGATCAAACACTGAGCAGGAATGCCACACTCCTGCACTCCTGCACAGGTAGTGCAGGCTTGGCCAACTGCAGGGTGGTCCAGAGCTCACCTAGAAACACACTGAACTCTAAAGCTTTGGTGCCACAGAGGCACCCTCTGCACACACTGCTGGCAGTGGCAGTGATGGGCTGTGCTCCCACAGCTCCTCAGGTGTTCCTGCAGCCTCTCAGGTGTTCCAGCAGCCTCTCAGGTGTGCTTCCACAGCCCCTCAGTCCCTCAGGTGTGCTTCCAGAGCCCCTCAGCCCCTCAGGTGTGCTCCCACAGTCCCTCAGTCTCACAGCCCCTCAGGTGTGCTCACACAGCTCCTCAGGTGTTCCTGCAGCCTCTCAGGTGTGCTTCCACAGCCCCTCAGCCCCTCAGGTGCTGTTCTACTCAGCTGTCCCTGGTTTATTCCTGCTGTGATGGTACCTGCATCCCACAGAGGAACAGTTCCCACAGCTGAACATCCACCTAAGCGGTATTGGCTTGAGAGAGGGCTTTACTTTTGCATTTCTGAAAACTGTTTTTTAAACATCAGCAATAAAATGTTTCCTCCTGTCCTGCTTCCCACATACCCAGCCTTTTCCTCACATCTGTGATGAAGAGTCAGGCTTTTCAGGAGCCTCCAGCAGGCACAGAGGACACAAGCTGTCACAGAATCACTGGGACATGGCTTGAGCCAGGCCAGAGCAGAAGCTGGGACGGAGGGACAGACACACCTGTGCCCTAAAGGGTCACACAGACAACGTTCATGTTTCTCTGGTCCACGCTGCAAACATGGCTCGTCCTAAAAATGGAAACCCTTCCTTGGAATAAACACAAATTTGGCTTTCCCAGGGCTCTTTTCCCTGACGCCTGATTAGGATGAGATCCAGGGCCACAGCAACTGACAAAGGTCCCACAGCTCACATCCCTTCTGCCTTGCCTGGACTAGATTTGGTATTTCTGCTCTGGGAATTGCCCCACTGGGAACAGGACACACTCCTGCAGGCTTGATGGCTGACAGGTGGGGCAGCCTCGATAGAAGAGACCTTGCATTGCCCTCATATGCTCTTAAACCATCCCACCTTTCCCCCTGGAAGTGGATGGGAATCAAAATCCTCTTGGGCATAAGACAAAACATTCCCTCTGGCACTGCCAGTTTGCCCCTTGATATTTCTCTGAAATGTGGATGTACCAAGCTGAGCCAAATGAAGCTGATAACACGGAAAAGGCTAAAGCAGAGAGAGGCTGCTGTGATTTGACACTGGCCAAATGCCATGCACCCACAAAAGCCACAGAGGAGGGAAAAAAATTAAATGAAGAGTTCATGAGTTAAGGACTGTGAGAAAACACTTCACACCATGGTCTCACTATGGCCTGCAGAGGGATCTCAGCTCTGGCACCTGGTGCACTCCTGCCCTTCCTTACCCACTGACCTTGCTGTCTCCAGGCTGTTTCCCTCACACGTTCTCACCTCCTCCTCTTCTCCGTCTGGAAAAAAACAAAACAAACTGTGCCCACTTCGTTTGGATCTTCTTCTTCAATATGAGATTCACAAGAGGTGGAACGTGTTGGTTTTGCATGGCCTGGTTTTTGGTAGGGGGGGCACAGAGGTGCCTTCTGTGAGAAGCTGCTGGAAGCTTCCACCATGTCCAGCAGAGCCAACCTCTGGTGGCTCTGAAAATTCCACAGGGAATGCAGAGATCCAGCCAGAGTCCAGGGTGAGGTGCCCATGCCAGAGCAGGTGATGCCTGCAGCAGGCTGTGCTCCAGTGGCAGCCCCAGGGGAGAGGGGCCCTGCTCCCAGGCTGGAGCAGCCTGTCCTTGGAGGGCTGCACCCCGTGGAATAGTGACCCATGCTGCAGCAGTTTGGGAGGATTGCTGCTCATGAGAGTGGACCTGTGCCAGAGAAGTTCACAGAGAGCTGTCTCCCACTGGAGGGACCTCACGGTCTCACAGGGGAAGGACTCCTCTCCCAGAGCAGTGGAAGAAAAATCTCAGTGATGAAACCACCAAAACTCCCATGTCCTGTCTCCCCGCACTGTTGGTGGGAAGGAGGGAGGACTAGGGGGAAAAAAACATGTTTTAAGGGCTTCTTTTATTTCCCATTATCCTCCTCTGACCCTTTGTACCTCTAAGTCAAGCCTATTTTGCCCTTGGAGTGTTTTCTCCCAATCCTCACAAAGCCTTCATTAAATTTTTCTCTCCTCTGCAAAGTTGTGGCAGAGCAGGGTGGATGAGTGACTTTTGTGGGTGTCTGGCATTTGGCCAGTGTCAAACCATGACAGAGGCAGAAGCTGGGAGGGAAGCAACTTGCACTGTGCTAATTTCATTGCAGAAGCTTCACATAATTTGCTGGGAAGAGGCCGACTCTGCCATGGCACTGTCCCCGCCACCAGCCTTCATCCACCATCTCAATGTGCGTGATTGTGTCATCAGGATCAAAAGAAATCTCATCATCTCCATCTGCAAAAAATTTCAAGAAAAGACAGTCACAATGCAAAAAGAACCCCAGAGAGAGCTGGTTCATGCTCTTCCTCCCACCTTCCCCCAGGCAGAAGACAGAACAAGTGCTCTGATAACCCCAAGAGTTTACCTCACCCAACCCCATCCCACAGCACAAACAAAGCAGAGAAAGAGCAAGACCTCCCAGATGAAAGATGAAGTTTCTCTGTTGCTGTCCTGCTCTGGGCCAGGACAAGGCTAATTTTTTGCAGTTGTTGGGAGGGGCCATGGCCATAACACGGAGGTTATTCTGTACCACCTCATGTCGTTGCCAGGGTGAGAGAAAGGGACTCTCGATTACAAGGAACACTGGGTTGAGAAAATATGGTGGAGGGAGCCACCCAATATTGTCTACTGGTGGGTGTTTTTCCATGTGAAAATTTTCTTTTGTTATATCTTTTGTTATTAACATTGTTGCTGTTACTTTTCGCTTTCTTATTGCTGTTTCCGAAATTGTTGCTATCTCAGCCTGTGATCTTTGCCTTTTTGTGCCTCCAACTGGAGAGAAGCGAGGCATGCTGTGAGTTCTAAACTGGAGAATAGCATTCCTACACCATGATGTTCTCAAGCCAGGTGTCACTCTGCTTCCCAGGAGGAAGAAATGCAAAGCAGCGAGTCCCAGCCCTTGACCCCGCCGTGGCACAGCGCTGGGGGCAGACCCACCTCCTTGGTAATCATAGAGAGCCACTGCGCACATGCCGGGGCTCTGCCCCTCAGGGCCATGGGCCGCGTTCCCTGCAGGACACAGGACACAGGTGAGACACAGGCTACAGCTTCCACACAGTCCTGCTCAGTGCCACTCTCCAGCCCAGCTCTGGGGAAGCCCTGTCAGCAAGGAGAGGTGCACCACAGCCCAGAGCAAGGACTGACTTCCCTCCCCTCCCTCAGGGAGATGGTTGGGTCCTGATTTTCATGCTCCTCTCCCAGAAAAAGGCTGGTAATAGCTCCAAGCTCTTCACTTGCCACAATGGCAGCTGTGTGTGATGGGAGCAGTGACAGCAGCCCATGCAGTTTGCTCCTGGGCATGGACAAAGGCCACCTGCACTCCTCACACCAGAAACTCCACCAGAGCAGGTCCCCAGAACAGCAGCCATATGAGCAATGGGCTGAACCAGAGGCACCCCCAGGCCCCAGGGCAGCACTTGCCAGGAAACTGCAGCCATGCATTGGTTCACATCCAGCTTCTCCCGGGGCTGGGGCAGCCCCCTGGCCAGACCCTGATCCAGCAGATTCCCGCTGTCCAGTCCAGCATCCCATGCACCTCATCCCGTGCACCTTAGAGCTGGGCAGGGGAGCGGGACACAACCAAGTCTCTACCACAGTAGCTGCTATCCTGACCACAGTAGATTTCAGGATAAAAATTCCCTCTGCAGTTTGTCCCAGAGGTTAGTAGACAGGTACGAGCTTCCCAAGACACGAGCTGTTCCATCAGTACTCACCCAGGTGGGGATGGCTCTCGCTGGGCTCCTGAGGAAGGATCACCTCATAGTCTTCACCTCCATCTCCTCCAAAGTCGTAGGTGGCATCCAGCTTCCCCAACGGGGCTGGCAGCTCCTCATACTCAGCACCTCCACTGGTGCTGTCACAGTAGTCAGAGGGCTCTGGCAGCTCCTCATAGTCCCCACCAACATCCAAACTTTCACTGTAGGTGGGCTGAGCCTGGTTGGGGACCTTGCACAGCTCTGCATCCAGATCTGCTGGCCTTGGTGGCAAAGTAGGTGGTACTTCTTCATCCTCCCTATTGGGCTCCTGCCATAAGGTGGGAAAGGGACAGCAAAGTCACCTGCAAGGCACCCACCACAGGCAGCTCTTTGGTGACTCCCAGCGCCTGACACAAGGCAGCCCCTTTACTGCTGCCGGGGCACAAAAGGAACACCATTCCCTGCACACCAGGGAAACAGCTGAGCTGCTCAGGCTGTGCTGAACCAGCAGCTGGGATTGGCCCAGAGACCCTTAGGACTCACATGTCTGAACTCTGTTCCTACTTCACCACAGCCAGTGGCAGTGCCACTGCACCGACCCACTCCCAGAGCTTGTCCCATGGGCTGAGCAGTGTCCCATGGGCTGAGCAGTGTCCCATGGGCTGAGCAGTGTCCCACGGGCTCAGCAGTGTCCCACGGGCTCAGCAGTGTCCCACGGGGTCAGGTGCTGAGCAGCCATGGCCCACCCCCAGGCCAGTGCTCCCCCTTATCCTTCCAAAGCCTCCCCCACCCTGTGGCTCCACGTCTCCCTGCAGGGCTGCACACAAAGCACAGCTCCTGCCAGGTGCAATCCCCTCTGCTGCTCCCTCCCAGCTCTCCCAGGCTCCCTGGCACCTGCTCTCCTGGTGACATGGGCTGGTCCCCAGCAGCGCCCCTGGGTGCCCCTGCTGGCACGGCTGCAGGGGCTGCCCCAGTCCCAGCAGGCTCCTTCTCTCTGGGAGGGATTTCCTGCTGGAGAAAAGCCATCAGACTGCTCAGTCCATTTGAACAATGGCTGTTCACGTTCCCAATGCTCAGAATGTTCTCCTCCACCTACAAACCTGCTCTGGGCCTGGGCACTCACAGGTTGGTGGCAACAGCTGGGCAGCCCCATAGAGGAGCAATGTGGGGGGGACAGCTCCATCATTAACACCCCTCTGTCCTCTGAGTGCAGGAACAGCACCAGGGGGAAGGCAGGCAGACACAGGGGCTGGGAGCCGTATCCAGTTTGCTGGGATGCATCCCACACAGACTGCTGGGACTGTAACCACACTGTGTGCCAGGCACCCGAGGCAAAAGAAGCTGAGGCCAAAAGCACAGGTTGAGTGCAGGTATGTCCCTGTATGAGTGTTTGCTGTGCTGAAAAGGAAAGTCCAGTGACAACTGTGAAGCTCAGTGGCCATCCTTGGCAGATGCAGGGAAGCAGTTTAGGCAGGAGGTTACCCTCAAGAGACCAGACAGAAGGACATGGAGCTGCAAGGCTCCGAAGAAAAGTCAGCGTCACGAGTCTTGGAGGACCCAGCAGGACAGCCCTGGCTCACCTGAGCCCGCCGGTGCTCCCGGGCCTGCCTCCTGCTCTCCTCCTGGGCCTGCTTCCTGCTCTCCTCCTCTGCCGACTGCGCCATGTGCTCAAACCGCAGCCGCAGGCTACTGGCGCCACTGCAGGCTCCTGTGAGGACACAGCTGATTGACCCAGCCCTGCGTCTTCCTTCCACCACCCCCAGCATCCAGGAGAAACCCTGAAATCTGCCTCTTCCAGAGAAACTTGCAGTCAGCCTCCTTCCCCTGCCCTCCAGCACAGGTTATCCCACCACAGCACACACCTGCCAGCAGGCTGCCACAGAAGGACTGTGAGGCCCACATCTTCCTAAGCCCAGGGCTAGTGCTCAGGTCTCACCTGCCTCCAGGGGTCTTGTTTTCTCATAGGAGGAGGTGGGAGCTGCCATCTCATCAAAGCCAGCAGCACTCTGCAAGAGGAAGTGAAAGAACTGCTCAGCCCATTGGGCAGTGCCAGTGCTGGCTTTGGGTACTGGTGATGGCAGGCTTTGCTCCCAGGTACGTTTGTCCTCACCTGCACACCTGCCCTGGCCCAGGGGAGGCTGTTGGCTGCAGTCCCCCCCTTCTGACACCTCCCTGTCCTGGGGATGTGCCTGTCGCCCCCCAGCCAAGGACACAGGTGTCCCTGCCCAAGAGAGCTGGAAAGGTGCTGTGGAGCCCAGCGGGGAAGGCTGAGCAGAGACACAGGACAGCAGGGCTGGGGATGCTCCCTGTACCATAGCAGGGAGCTGGGGGGATGCCTGGGGGCATGCATGGCCATCTGCCTCTTCCCCAGGCCCAGGGACACTGTGCATCCCCCCCGTGGCACGAGGCCTGGAAGCACTTCCCTGCTGGCCACACAGCTGCCTCACCTGCCGCGTGTGTGCAGGGGCACAGGCTGGAAAGCAGCACCTGTGTGCAAACACCTGCGGCACCACCGGCTTCAGGAGGGATGGAGAGAGGCTGGACTGGGAACAGGATTGGTGGGGAGGGTACAGGAAAGCCAAAGTGAGATACAGAAGGCTTAAGGGTTTATCTGCTTTCATGAGAAAATTCTTTAATGCAAAAGGGAACGAGCAGGTAGGAGCCACTTCTCAGCCTGACACTTTCAGCAGGGGCTGCCTGCAGGTGTCACAAAAGGCTGGTGGCCGACTGTGGCAGCAGCTCCGGCCACAGAGAGCAAGGCACAACTTTCCCAGGCATTGTCCTGGGGAAGGCTGTGACAAGATGGGAGAAAAGAATGTTAAACAATTCCTATCTTCATTTATTGTACTTGTTGTTGTGAACATGTAGAATGTGTTATGGAGATTTGTTCACTAAAGGGTGATTTCTTGACTGGCTGCTAATGATAGTGTTTAGATTCAATTGACCAATCTGGTCTGTCTGTATTGGACTGTCTGCAAAGGACAATGAGTTTCTTAATAAGTATAGTACAGTATAATAAATCAATTGATCAGCCCTCTAGAATCATGGGGTCAATACTAATTATTACCCTGTGGGGACCCATGCTACGATAGATGACTGCAGCCATGGAGCCCAACAGCAGCTCTGCCCTCCCTGCAGAAAACACACCTGAGCAGGTAAACCAGGCTGCAGGCTCAGAACCAGTCACAGCAGAAGCCTGGACATGCTGTGTGTATGACAGCATTTTTATTTTGTGTGAGCTTTAGTCTGATACTGAGTGTCCAGAACTTTACCAAAGGGGAGTTCAGGCTGCCTGAGAGTCTGTTATGCTCTGCTCTGGTGCAGCAAATTCAGCATTTCTCAATTCCTGAAGACCAGGCAATCTGAAACTTAGTTACTTGCAAAAAAAAATCCTTATTTTTACCATGTTTGTTTATGCTTCAGTATTCTTAAAATGCAGAAATTCATGTTCACTTTCAGCCAAACAAGAACTGCTCCTCTCTGCATCCTGCTTCCCAAAAGAGCTACAACCCTTTTACCCAGTCGTCATGTGCTTTTGCATGTTGTTTTTGATCACATACAAGGTGTGCCTTTCGTCAGTGCACTTCCATTTGCGGTGGCTAAATTCAGAGCTAGCAGGAATCTCTTGTGAGGGCAGGACAGCATTCCCTCTCTGAGGCAGGCCCAGCCAGCATGGACAGGACCACGGGGGTGCTCTCAGTGTGTTTGCATCCTCCCCTGCTTCCTCGCGCTCTCGAGCACAGTGATGCTGCTGCTGTACCAAACACAGCCCGTGCCCCAGCAAAGGAAGGAGGTCTCAGGGAAGGCACCCTCACTCCTCTTCCAAATGCCCCAAGCCCCAGGATCTGCATCTTTTAGGCTATCACATGCATGCAGATCACAGCCACTGCAGGACCCCCATGGGGACCAAGCCCTCAGGGCAGCTGCCAAGCACAGAACTGGTCCCAGTGCCTGTCACCCCACTCTGAGATGGGACTGCAGATGAGGCTTTGCCTGGTGTCAGCCCAAACAGAAAACCTCAACCAGCAACTTGGTGACCTCTTCTCATGCACAGCAGATTGATCTATGCCATCCCAATCCTGCTGGAGTTTGTCAAGGTGTGCAGGAAGATTTAACACCTGAGCAGACCATGAGGCACTCCTTGATAGGAGTGAAAAGCCTGCAGAGCGTAACAAACAGCAGAGAAGTGAGAGGTGACAGAGTGCCATGAGGAAATCCTGCATTACAATCTCCCCAGGCTGCATTCCTCTGCACCCTTTGGTTCCACAGCTGTGCACTGGGTACTGGGACCTCAGCTCCACTAGGGGAATCTCTTCTCTTTCATCTGGGCAAAAAGCAGTGGTTACAAGGAAGCAATTGCAGGCTGCAGCGGTCTTACCTTATCCACTCTATCCTTCTGGACCCCATAACGGCCTCCAAACCCTTTGGCATAGTCTATATGGAAAAAAAAAAGTTATTTTAGAGTATTTTGTATTTTGTGTGTACCTCTGACTTCAGTGTGCTGTGACCAATGAAATGAGTTTGCATGTGTTATTATCTCTAGTTAATTCCATATGTGATGAGACACAGATAAAGCTAAGTGCTCTGGACAGCAGCTTTTAGGACCAATCCCTCCCTCCTTTCAGCTGAGGGAACAGGTGTGCAGGGCTGTGGCTGCCAACCCAGCCCAAGGCAGCAGGGTGAGTCCAGTCACCCCAGCGTGGCCCTGCTCAAACATGCTGCACACAAGGCACTCCTGGGATCTGCTCTGCCTCGTTCCTCTGTGACAGCTCGTGCCTTCAGAGTGTGTCCCGTGTGTGCAAAGAGCAAATCTGGGTGGAATCGGGGCAGGGAGGCTACAATGAGCTCATGGTTAGGAGCGTCCCTCGCAGGGAAAGGCAGAGTCTGGGAGTCCTGACCTGACTGAGGGCCCCACAGTGCGTGTCCCCCACTGATCCAAGCTCCCCCCAACTCTGCCCTTGTGCTTTGGGGCTCACTGTGTCTGCCATGTGCTGGACACATTCTGTTTTCAGCAGCTGGATCTCTTACTATGAACCAGCAGCTGGATCTCTTATTATGAACCACAAACTCCAGACACAGGCCTTTGTGTGCTCCAGGGAAACTGCTGCTACCTCTGGCAATATTGCCCGACCTCTTTGGGATGCATGGAGCTGTACTTCCTCCTGGTGGTCCCAGCCAAGGGCATTCTTGTCCTGGCGATCCCTCTGGACCCCAAACTTCCCACCAAAGCCCACAGAATAGTCTTCAGCCACAGGGATCCAGATCAGGGCATGGAAGAGAACACACAAGGGAGGGAAGGAGACAAGTGGCAGCAGTGTAAGCTCAGGCTGTTCTTGCAGGTTTTCCATGCCCAGAACTTAGAGAAAGACATGGAACAAGGCCAGATTTCCCCACCGGTGTAGCAGCAACAGCCCTCCCTCCTCCCTGGGATATGCCACCTGCTATTAGCACCTGCCTGAGCGTCCCCTTCACCCTTCCTTTGGTGATATGCTGTCCAAGAGACCCCTGTGCCCACAGAACTCTTCTGGTCCTCTTCCTTTAGCCTGAACTCTTCTTAGCAGCCATGCACTGTGCAATGGCTTTCCTCACCTGGCCCTTCCCAACAGCTCCCTGTACTCTTCCACCATTCTTGCAGCAGATTGCAAAGGCCCAGCACTGCCCTGCAAGTGTCCATAGTGCGAGTGGGCACAGTGCCCAGCTCCAGCCTGGCACTGCCTGCTCTCCCTCCTCAGCTGGCTCCCCTACCAGCACCCCCAGCCCCTCCAGCTCCCTCAGTTTTCCCCAGCTCACCTGGCTGCCAGGGCTCACCTTTCTGAGAGTCATGCTTCTCTCCCTGGCTCTTGTAGTCAAATCCCACAGCTGCTTTGTCCACCTTATCCCTCTCCACTCCGTAACGGCCACCAAAGCCCTTGGAGTAATCTGAGGTGGAGCATGGAGTCAAATGCTGCCCCCAGGATGGGGCTGATGAGGAGAGGACAGGGAGCAGCACGGGGGAGGAGCCCCAGGGAGAAGGGACAGCAGCAGAGATTATGGAAAACACCACAGAAAGTGAAGGGTTTGAGGGGACAGGGTGGATGGCAGGAAGAACTATGGATGAGAGCCCACAGGAATGGGAGCACAAGGCAAATGGGCAAAGGGCACCAGGAGAGACAGCAGGCCAGGAGGAAAGAAGAAAACAGACATACCAAGGACAGTGGCACATGGGGCCACAAGGGAGATGGACTGGGAACAGAATCTGAAACAAGAGACAGGAGACTGTGCCACAGCCAACAGCACAGGATACTGGGAGCAGAAGAGAAGCTGAGCAAAGAATCAAGGGGCCACATATGCCCGTGGACTTGCCTTTCTGGGATGAGTGTTTTTCCACCTCACTCTTGTATTCAAAGCCCACTGCTGACTGGAACAACAAGGGGAGGACTGTCAGTCATCCTGAGGGCCAAGATGGGTTTCAGCCTCCCTCCCCTGGGGCCAGGCTGTCACTGGCTCCTGTCTTGTGCTGCAGCACACGGGGGCAAACACCACAGCCCCTGGAGAAACAGTGCTCTGCCTGGGTGGGACAGGCCCACCACAGCAGTGCCCACCAGCCACAGGTGCCCCAGACCATGGGGCCACTGCCCTGCACACCAGCTGAGCTGTGCTTCAGTGAGACCAGGGCACAGGGCACACCCTGCACGCCCTGAGCTTTGAGAACAGCCCCAGGCTGGCGTGTGGCAGCGCTCCAGGGCCAGCACAGGCCACAGGTCTGGGTTTCCGTCGCACTGTCCAACACACCTTATCGGCTCGGTCCCGCTGGACTCCAAACTTGCCACCAAAGCCCTGGGCTGCATCTGTCTGCGAGGAGTGCTTCCCAACATCAGCGACGTACTCGTGTCCCACTGCGCACTGAGGGGAGAGAGTGTGACATGAGCAGCCATGGGGGACAGGCAGAGGCACCACAGCTGCTCCCACACGCTGCTGACCTGCTCGCAGCCACAGGTGACAGGTCCAAGCTGGCTGGGCCATGGTGCCCAGGCACTCCACCAGGCCTTTGCCAACAGCAGCTCTGCTCAGAGGCCTGGGAGCAGCCTCGAGGGCTGTCACCTCACAAACGTCCCCACTGCCAGCTCATTAGCACAGCGTGGGATGCTGAATGCCACGTGCTCTCAAGTGCTGGTGGAGTTGCATGGTGGATAATCACAGGGTAGACAAGAGAAAAGTGCAGACAGGCACATAGAGCCGAGAACTCCAGGCAGAGCTCTGGCACCCATTTCCTGTTTCGGTATCTGACACTGAGGGCCAGCAAACCTGGCCACAGGCCAAGCCAGGAACCCACTCTCCCTGCTGGAGGTGCCGTGGCCAGGAATCACAGACACTCTATGCCACAATGGAACAGCTGTGCTCAGACTCTGCTGGACCACTGTGAGGGTGCTTTTGTTGAGCAACTTCTTGGCTTTTGTCCAGTTTCACCGGGATGCTGCAAGTGTTCAGCTTCTGCCCCTTCTGCTGAGGAGCGTGTGCAGTTCCTGACTACAACAGCTCTGGCAGGGAGAGCAGGGAATTTCTGAGGACAGTCTTTCTCACCCTGCCATCCTGGTGTTGTTCAATCCCACAGTCACCACACCTATGGAACTCTACTTTGATCTAAACATCTCACTTCTGAGAAAGAAGCATTAAATGCTGAAAGGTGCAGGAAGAAGGTGTGATAATGATTATCACAAAACATAGACCAGATCTGATGTCTAGGGCTTTATCTCAGGGAGATATGAGCTCTCTAATGCACAATATGAGGAGGGAATTACTACACATTAGTTCTGCAAGAACAAGTAGGGAGGCATCAGATTTAATTGTTATGCAGCAGGCTTGAACAGCCCCAGAAAGCCTTTCACAGCTAAAGGGAGCATTGCAAAGTTGTAGAGAGGAGTTACACAAATGAATTCAAATCGATCCTGGAGACAGAGAATGAGCTAGCTGGATATGTGTGAATCCATGCAAACTCTCCATACTCCCCCTTCAGGGTCAGGCCAGAAAACAGAGATACCCCCTCCTTTATGAGAAAAGCACTTTTCCACTGCGGCTCAGGGAAGCCTCCCACAGCTGTTACCTTATCCATTCGGTCTCGCTCTGTTCCAAATTTGCCCCCATAGCCATAGGATGCCTTGGGGCCAGTCTCCAGCTCCTTCTTCTTGATGACCTCGTGTTCCTCTGATACCTTGTTCCTGAGCTGATGGATGCTGGAGACAGAGACAGGGCAGGCAGGTGTGGGATTCTGCAGAGCCAAAGCCCAGCAGGACACACAGGCAGGA